TGTGGAATTAAATTAGGTTTAGAGAACTTCTTATTGGAACATGATTTTTTTTTAGATTTTAATCTTTTTTCTCCCAGAGTACCTGATGAACATTTCTGGTGTGAATGGTGTGAAGAGTTCATTTGAAATTTCACCAGAATAAAGTAGCTAGATATTATGCACATGTAAGCACACTCTCTCCCTCTATTTTTATGATTGTTATCAAATTAAAATATATTGTTCTTAGCCTTCCTACTCCAGTTTGATGACTCTTTTTTTACCGGGCTGAATTTTAGGCAGTTCTTGAAAAGCAAAGTTATATGCGTATTGGAAGATATGACATCAAAAATCTGATGCGACTTGATCCAGCTAGTACATACTTACCAACTTCAGTTCATTATCCGAACTCAGAAAATAATGCTTCTGATGCTATGGTTGTATATTGAATCCTCCAGTTAATGTTGTTGTCATTTGTGATCCTGCCATTTCCTTATTTTCAAGAGAACCTGATTCGCGATGATAGCAAACTTGTTCTTTTGGCATTCTTGAGCGATTCATTGGAATTTGTTGCAGACTTTGTAGAAGGGTAAGTTATTATTACTTATTAGCCTCCATGGCACACTTTCTAAAACTTGAGTTGGTAAAACAGTTTATGTCATTGCATTTTACTCTAAATGGTGTTATGAAAGAACTTTAGAAGGAAAGTGAATGAAATGATGTTGAGACACTCACTCATCCACTCACCCTCCGGCCCCCACCTCATTGTCCACACATGTATGCTGCTCGCTCTGTTCATATTTTCACATGGTTTCTGTGGATTGGGTGTACTATAAAATTAGAAATTTCATCAATGGTTAACGACTTTGTAAGCGCCTCATTTCGATATACAACAACAACAAAGCATTATTCGACTAGGTGGGGTCGGTTACTTGGATCAAATGCCATTGCTCCCTATCATGCATCATATATACCGACGTGAGATCATTCACGCGAAGGTCCCCCTTGACCACTTCTTGCCAAGTCTTCTTAAGTGTATCTTTTCCTTTGCGACATGTCTATTCACCATTTGATCAACCCTTCACATCGAATATTCTATTGGGCTTTCTCCACATGTCCAAACCACTTAAGACGAGTTTCCTTAATCTTTTCTACAATGGGTGTCACTCCAACTTTACCTCTCATATCTTCATTCCTTATGTATGGGACAACACTGGGTAGGTTGTTGTTGCTGTTATCATTTCCTCACTTCTTCCAAATATAGATGGGGATAGCCAATGCAATTGTAGACCTTGTGGGCAGTGGAACAACTTCGAGAGAGAACAATCTAAAAGAGATTGCGGGTGGAGTCATCTCGCAAAGTCAGGTAATTTTTCAACCTCTAATGCTAATGGGTTTTCGCGTTCTGCAGTTCTGCTATTGTCAATGTGGAGTGTTTATTACACAAAAAGTTATTGATTGAGACTAAATTTACTGGGGAAGAGAAAAGGTTTTGAAAATTATGCATACACTATTGATAATATTTCATGTGTGTGAATGTCAGAAATAGATATTCATAGGCCATCACGTTTGGGTAACAAATGTTCCTGACTATCATTTGCAAAACCCTTCAAGTATACATAATACATTATATAGTGCAATGGCCCTTTGACCTCATTACTTTCCAAAGATTATTGCTCCCATTTTAAAACACTAGAACAATCGTTATAAAATATTAAGTGTCATTTTGTTTGAGGAAAGAATGCAGTCAAAGGGACATTGCACTGTATTATGTTATAAAATATTAATAGTATCATTTTAAAACATGTTTTCGGCTCATATTGACAGGCAGGCACATTTTCAAGGGATGTAGAGTTCCAAAGTTTGCATAGTCACATACCCTCATTATGACATATTAGTACAACACCTGATGGACATAAAATATTATGATTAATATTTCTGCACAGGCGGTCCTTGTTGCTAGCAGGAAATCATTGACACGTAATGATGTGCTAG